AATCTAAAATTGGCGAGATGATTCTCACAATGCCCCAAAGGATCAACGAACTTCACGAAGCGAAAGGAAGATCTACTAGATATTAATTACATTATAAATATATCAATTCATGTGAATATGACTGAAAAATTTAATTTTTTCTGAAAAGGTGGTGTCTATTTACTTGTGACCACGCTGTGTATATTGTCTAAAACCAACTTACCAACAGCAATTAAGTATTTGTTGTTTACTGCACTTATTACATTAGCATATCGTATATTTAAGGTTTATGATGTTGCAGATCATAATGTAAAAGAAATTTACACTTTACAAAATGCTATAAAAAGTACAGAAAATAAATGAATTTTTTTATATATGCATATTTATGATTTTTAAATAATTTTTGTTGACTTTGTGTAATATACTCATAACAATATACTCATGCTGTTTTTAGGAAGTTACTTATACCTTAAAGGTACTGTTACTTCTCTGTTACAAGTTCCTTTGGATATATTAGGTTTGGATTAAAATTTAAATTGTTGATAGAGATTAAATCATCTGTAATGGAAACTATAGATATATAAATAAATGAATTTTATTCGAAGATCAGATAAAAGTTGATGATCTTTGAAGAGAAATTAGTACTGATCGGAATATCTACTGTTCACTTAAAGAATTGTTTATTGAAAGTAATATAACTGTTATAGATACAAAAATTAAGTATATTTTTACACTGATGTTATTAAATTTAAAGTTTGGAATAATTTGTGTATCTACAAATTTATTAAGTAAATCGTTTAAAAACCCTGATTAAATATTTCAGATCTATTTTAAAATATAATGTAGTAAAATTATTATTAATAACAGATTTGGCTGTTTTTAAACAATTCAAGTTAGTTAAATATCCAAAACTGGAATATTATTTTTAATGATCCAAAAATAGTAGTTCAAATCATTTAATGACAGTAACTTTATTTTTTCAAATAAAACATCTAGAATACTACTGAGTACAATAGAAACAGGTTTAGTGACTTATTTAACCCTTTGAGCACGGGAGACATGATTACCATCCGCTTGACTAGGGAAGTACATTTATGCAACAGAAATATGGTAACTGTGCATTTCTCACAATACCTCATGAGATTTTGATAAAGTTTATAAGTATCTTGCACACAAAGAATGACATTATTTTAATTGTGTCTTTTTAATAAAAATGTTATTTATCTGTAATAGTTACTTGCACTCAAACTGTGAATAGTTTGAGTGCAAGATGATTTTCATTTGCATAACCTCTAGAACGTCTTAAATGAATTTCAAACGTTTTTAAGGTAAATGTTTATATAACTAGCTATTATCATCAATGTACAATGCAATAAAATAATTAAAATTAGGAAATAGAATTAAAAATACATACCCTTTAATTTTTTGTAGAATATTTTAAAGATTTTCCTTTTGTTAAAATCATAATTTCAGGTCTTTTCCTTTTCGCGTATAGTTAATTTTTAATGTTTTATTTCCTTTTTTGTCTTTTACCACTTATTCATCTCAACACAAGTCAACGGTGCCCTTTGGGCATATTACAGTTTTTTTTTGGGAGGCATGTGCAACCGTTCTGCAAAATGTTCATTTGGTGCATAATATCGTAAACCTTCAGAATGGATGCAAAGTATGATGTATATTTAAAAAATGTTTAAATTTTTAATTATGCATCTGAAAACATAACTAATACGTAATTAACTAAAATATAAAAGTAAGTAGTTCTTTAAAGGATTCTTTTGAAATAAAGGACAAACTGAGATAACATAAAACTTCAAATCATAACATACATTATATAATGTTAATTTCATTCACATGCATTGATAGTAAAAGTGTTTAATTTTGAATGTAACACAGTGACTTGCACAGAAAAGGTTTAAAGGGGTACCCATTGCAAAAGGGGTTAATTCTTTCAGCATGGGCTCAGTCCCTGGGACCAACCTTGTAACTAGTTTGTGCCTGTTATAGTTTTCATGCTATAACTTTTAAATTAGAAAGCAAATGTTAATGAAATTTGGTAGATTATCAATAAATCTTACAATGCTTTCATACACAAAATATCAAATTTTTTTTATTAGATCTTAAGGTTTATAAAGCAATGTTTTTCTCGTATGTATTTTTTTCTTTTCTCATGTTGCCTATCTATCATGCAAAGTAATTTTCATTTTAAGGTTAAAAATACTTTTATGCATCAGAACATTTTTAAATTTCACATGCAAAATCTTTATAATGTTGAGATAGTTATCAAACATTTCTTAAGAAAAACTTTATCTGTTATTTTTAGTAATTAATCTCTGTACGGGTTTGGTAGATTTGACCAATCTCGCAACCACCATAAAAAATTACGAAATAAATATAAATTATGCCTCTTTCATTCTAGAATGAACACAGATTATAACATGAAAACAAATGTTTAGACTAAATAGCTTAAATCTCATAATATTATACATTTCTATATATTTAATATTTTTGTTATATTGACTTCAGCTGTGCCTGGCTAACAATACAGAAGTTATATTCATGCGGCTCATGTGCACTCATGTTACTGTATCAAATAACATAAAACTGACCTTTGGTCTGTACAAAGTAACTTGTATTGGCTGTGTTTTAGTAGACTAGTATTTTGTAAAATACGGTCACATTTAAATTATTATACATTATATATATATATATAGATTATTGCTGTTTTGAAATAAGCTCTTAAAGCTATGTTTCCTAAAACACAGAACAGTAAATAAAGAAGTAAAGCAAACAATCATCTTTTCTAGGTACGACCTTTGTACTTGGTTGCTGCTTTACATAGGTTGCTAAGCCTTTAATAGTTTTGCACATGGAGGATATGAAACACAATATTTTTTTAGGTTTTATATATACATTTGAATAACTAAAAAATCATAAATTACTACATTAATACCACAGAATTCCACTATAATTTATAAAGCTTAGTAACTAAGATGTATTTGATCTAACAAAATATGAAATTTTGAGCACACTAAAGACACACTCTACCTTGTTTAAATATTGGTTCAAAAGAAAAAAATGGTGCCAAGTTTGTTAAAATGGCTAAGAAAGCCACTAGGAGGACATTCTGAACTTTTGATTGGTTATTCATGTCGTGTATATAAGGGAGCGTTTCCAAAAATGGAAAGAGGTGGGCGGGGTGCCACTGTGTTTAATTTATTAAATGAGCAATATCTTAGCAAATTGAAAAGATAAGAGGATCTTGTTTTATATTCTAGCATGTCAATGTTGGTAATTTGAGTTTCTAATTTGCTCAAAACTATAAGCTAAGTATTTTGACTTCTCAAACATCTGATTTGGACCAGTGCTGCATTCAGCATACCACATACACACAAAAATTGATGTTTATCTGTTTTTTTTAATATTAGCTTTTGAATTAAAATCGACAGTTTGATACCAAACTTATTCACATGAAGTCAGCAAACGAAATGATATGGTTTTTCAACCTTGACCTGTCTCGAAAGGGTTAAAGAGTTTGTAATAATCCTGAACTTAACGGTAGTTTTATGTAGTTTCAGACTTTCATATAAAAATTGTAAATTAGAACAAGTAGCATATGTATTTATATTCCATTTTTAATGGTTTTCTTTAAATTAGTAATATTTATATTTTTATTTAAAGTGATTTTTGTAAATGTGTTTGCTGTATTGATTTCATTAATTAAAGTTTGTGCATATCATTGTTATACACAAGACTAAAATTATAACCAGCTTTATCAATAAGGGTAATAATAAATTGTTCTTGAATTTCTCTAATTTTATTTTTACAGATATTGAAAGAAATATTTATCTAAAATTTAGACAAGTTTTTAACTTTTTTTATGGAGTTAATAAAAAATAATTTCCATTCAAAAAAGAAACATGGAAGATAATGAGATTTTTACTGATTTTGATAATGGAATCATCAATATTTTTTTGGTTCAAATTTATTACCTTTTTCTAAAATCAATTGTAAGTCCTTTTCTTTTATAACATCTAAATTGCATATGTTTATGAAAAGAATCAATAAGATAACTGTTGATACAAGGTAAATTATCAATTTCTTTCAGATTTAATTCTTGAATAACATTTTTTTTTAAATATATATATATATATATATATTTATCTTTCAGATTTTATTAGAGGTGAAAATCTGAAGAAAACCATGTACAGTTTAATTGAAAATTAGAAAACTTTATGATTTTTTTGCAGATTTGAACATTATAACATTAAATGTTATTTTTTTCTTTACAGAGCTGTACCTGGTATTTTTGGAAACCAGCAGAACAGATACCTAGAAGTAATTCGACAAATGCTCTTACAGAGTCTTCAAGACCCAACAAACTTAAATGTAATATTGAGACTTATACATACTAAGTATCACACTTTTACATTTAAAAAATCCATTTTTTAATTTCATTTGAACTTGTTTAAATCTTACAGATATGTCTGTTTAGGTGATGAACTTATCACTATTCTCTCAGTTTTATTTGTTGTCCAGTTATTTTATTATACTCTTAAACTTACTGGTCATTGCTGTTGAGATATTCCATAAATATAGCTTGAATTAATGACAGATTATCTGTAGGTTTAAGTTCATGGTTCTATATTTCCATTAGCTTGTTATATCTGAATACTGCAAGATGTGTTTCCTAATCCCTAGGGTGGATATTTAATGTACACTATATATACTACAATTGTTTGGGGTAATGAAAAATTATGTGCCTGTGTCCTGTTAAGTTGTGCAGAGTTGTTTAAATCTCAAAAGAAAAATTATAAACCTTGCCATTAATTATAACTCTCTTTGTTTTTGAAATATATTTTGAAGTTTTTGTATTTCATGTAACTTCAACATTAAGTTTAACTACATTTAATTATTAGCTCTGATAAAAGTGTAAAATATTATGGAATTTCTCTATATTCATAAGTGTACATTTTGATCCATGTGTAGAACGTGTAATATCTTAGTAACATCTTTAATGTTAATAAAATGTTTGTTTATTATAATTAGTAAGTTTGGATTATTTTTAAATTCAACTCTGCTTTTGTAGGTCCGGTTAGCTGCTGTCAGGGCTACAACAGCCTTTTTACTAGCTCATGAAAAAGAACATAACATCCAGAAACACATGGTAGACTGCCTTCTACCTCTTTTACAGGTAAAGAATAACATATTTGTTGCATTTAATTTTGATAAAAAAATTTTAGGCCCAGCATGGCCAGGTGGTTAGGGCACTTAACTCGCAATCTGTTGGTCGCGGATTCGAATCCCCGTGCCACCAAACATGCTTGCCCTTTCAGCTGTGGGGCATTATAATGTGACGGTCAATCCCATTATTCGTTAGTAAAAGAGTTGGCGGTGGGTGGTGATGACTAGCTGCCTTCCCTCTAGTCTTACACTGCAAAATTAGGGGTGGCTAGCACAGTTAGCCCTTGTGTAGCTTTGCACGAAATTCAAAAACAAACAAACATTTTTTAAATTTTGTGTTACAATAGTATTTTAAAATTTCCAGGGAAATTGTTTTTAATATTTGTAGTTGTGAAAGCTAAATATAAATATTTGCATTGCAAATGATGTTTTTAATTCTAAATGTATGTTAATCAAGGTACGGTTGAAGATACTGTTTTGAAAGCTAGAAAACAAGGCAGTACTAAAACTTGTCATTTAGTCTGTTTTATACTGTTAGTCTTACTGAATATTACACTATGACTCTATACTAACAAACAAAAAATGGTTGAAAGGTTTTTTTTAAGTTTGACTGAACTATTCTGTGTAAATAGTTTATTTATCCCAGGAATTTCTCTTGGCTAGTTATTCATGCAAATCTAATATATAAACTGCTTTGTTAAAAATATCTGAATGAGGGGTTTTGCTGAATACTGTCCTTACATAGTGCAACATGTGTTAAAAGTATATGAAAATGGAGCCTCGAAAAAGGAGGTGGCTTACTGTATGCTGTTCTTACATGGCACAGTTCTTGTTAAAAGTATCCATGAGGCATGCCTTCAAATAGATTCTGAGAGTTGTCTGGTACAATTTGATTCTCTTGCTTCAAAAGTGTGACCAGTTGTTGAAATCTCAAACTGTTTTCTAACCTTTTGAATTAACTACTGCACATGATGCCAAAAAATGTTTTACAAGTTTAATATCTTGGATTAATCATTTCAATATGTTAATATGTAACTTTGAAATAAGATGTGCTTTGTGGTAAAGAGCATTATTTTGATGAAAGGATATGTTTGCCCAACAATTAAGAAGTCATATGACCATTGGAATGTAGATATTTATCAATTTGTCTGAGTACTGAGGTTCTTCTTTTCACAGATAGGTCAACATACAATACATAGGCTATTCTTTGACCCTTCCTACTTCTCTTCACGTTTGGTCAGTGTGGTCAGTTTGTATATTTAACCATCAAACTGAATGGAGCAGTTATTCTTCATGATATTTATGACCAGTTTTTGTAATTCAATTGTTGAATTGTTTTAAGCATTCTTTGGGGTGATGTTGATTATGTTGGAGAAACCTCTATCAATTTTGATTCTAAGAACTTGTGAGTCAAAGTAAAAAAGAAAATATAAAACAATATGTGAGCCACACTATATGCGCCATAACCAATGCTGATGAGGCATTTCCCCAATACCATGGCTTTACCAGTCCTGCTAAGATACAACAAATAAAGATGTGTTTGAGACACTGTATTATCAAATTGCATGACCAACAATGGTAGAACATGCCTATAAACCTCAAAGTTAGTGCCCATTTTTGTGTGGTCACGTGTAGTAAAGTCATGAAACTCGTGCTAATTTAATTATCAGCATTTCGTCAGAATCCTAAGAAGGGAACATTTTTCAAACTCTTAAAGCACTTTCTGCTAAACACTTTCAGATACTGTTTTATAAATATAATTGATCAATCCCGCGAACAGCAAGTTGTTTGTTTGATCAATCACTTGAACTGTTTGTGTCAGTTTTTCCACACCTTCAACAACTTATAATCTCTTGCAAATTATTAATTCACAGTATTTTGGCATCCTGCCAATACTTCAACATTACTAAGCTGCTTAGCTAATGCATGTCTTTTAATACTCATGGGATTCATTTCAAGAGCATGCTTAGTGGATCATGTCACGTGTTCAAGATGTGTCCAGATGCTTTAGGTAGTACAACATAGTTATGTATATGTTATGAAAAAATATTATTTTATTTAACTATATGTAAAGTAATATATATTTATAATTTAAACAGGTTCTGCAGCAAAGTTTGGAGCAGCAGAATGAGGACTTTGTTTTAAAGAGTTTTGTTGACCTAGCTGAATCTTGTCCCCGATTCCTACGGAGTCAACTTGACCTGCTTTTACAGATATGTTTGAAGGTACTAAGCACTGTGTGATAGTGTCATAAAAATTATTGTTATTTTGACACTGCTGTACTTGTATACGTTTAGAGGAGTAAACGTATTTAAGATCAAATATTTACATTTTTTTTAATTCAATTTACTGGCATTTCTTGATATGCTTATTCATGTCCTTTTCAACTACTTATTTTAGAAAAAGCAAAATAGTTTTTGAAAATTATGGTTTAAACACTGAAAACTGTTGGAAACTAAGAGGACTAAAAATTGTCAAATAGTGCTTCATAGTTTTTTGCCTCTTATTGTCCAACCTTAACTGATGAGTTAAGGTATTGAACAAAAATCTTCTGTGGCACTGACTTGTGGGAAACAAAATATAAATCTGAAATGCTATTTTTACATACATCTGATTTTGAGCTACAATGGACAAATTATGAGGAATTTGTAAAAAAAAATAATTTGCAGTTAACTTGATTTTTATAACAAATTTTGATTGTGAATATAGAAAAATGACAGTTGTTTATAGGAAAATAGTGCGTTGAATAGGAAGTGCAAATATGACAATGTGAACAATATAAAATTCAAAGCGTTACGTGCAATGTGTTGACTTAATACGGATAATACGTGATATTGAGTACAAAATGTGATTAAAACATTTTGAATTATGAACACTACGTGTCACAAGGAGTCAGAAATACAACTAATTGGGTATAATCAACAAGGGGATTATGTGTAAATATTAAAATGCTAACTTCAGAAAACAGAATATATATAGTTATAAAACTATCAAAAACATTCATTGTAAATAGGCGATTGTTTTAATTAGCACTATAAAACACTAATGATGAAATTAATATAAACAAAAACATTATAAAGAGACTTAAAAATCAAAGTTGATTTTTTCCATTACTAGTCCTTGTTGTCATCGTTAAAACTCATAATGGATAATGTCTGTGGCCATACCACTCAAGCGTGTTGGAGATATTCTATCTATAAGAAAAGATCCAGACGTCGATGTCAAACTAGCCAACAACTAAGGAAAATCAGTGAAGGGTTATGAATTGAGTGCTTGAACCCACAACATCTCGACTCCTACCGCCTTTCACTGTCTGTAGCCACTTGTGGGAAAGCAGTTATCCTTAATATTTAGATACAAACTCAAAGTAGAAATAAATAAACCACCCTAAATTTCTACAACGTAAAACTTCCAAACTCCAACCTTTTATTTAATAATTTCAAAATGATGTTAAATAGAACTAAAACTCTTACCTTAATGGTTCTTAATTCCCCCTCCTCGTCCCTTTCTCTTGAAAGTTTGTTCGAATATAAACCGGGTGAGCTAAGACAAGCCCAGCTGCCTGAAGTTTTTCTTTCCGCCCCGGTATACTGAACAAAATATCTAAATACTTTAAAATTAGATCATTCAAGGATGTCCTTGAGTAACTAACGACCTCTATGTTCTCCACAAGGTAGTTTCCGTAATCGAGAATTCGCTTTTTAATATAATTTCATATTTATTATAAACGAGTATAAACATTTATTTTTATATGTCAGTCCTTATAACCGTTATTTCTCAAGTTATTTATGAAGAGTTGAACATTATCCATAAAAGAATTACTATTGTTTAAAATATTTTTAATTGAGATATAACAATATCAACGAAACAACACTGTTAGGGATGGGTAGATCAAGGATGGGAAAATCCTTATTCCATTTTTTTATCAAAAATAATCAACTGTACTCTGCCTTCTACAAAATTAATGTCTAAGTCTAAGTAATGTGCATGAATATCACTGGCGCGAAAGTGAATTCTCATACAGAGTTTTTGCTTTTAACAATTTTGGACTAACGTAAGCACTTTGAATTTTTTTATATTTTTATAAGGTAGATAATGTGACGGTCAATCCAACTATTCGTTGGTAAAAGAATAGACCAAGAGTTGGCGGAGGGCTTCCCTGTAGTATTTCACTGCTAGATTATGGACGGCTTTGCGCGAAATTTAAACACAAACAAAAACAAGCAATTAATCTGGTAATCTTAACAAACGTGAGTAATAATATTTTATACATAAAAGAAAGTTATAGGATGGTTTAGAAAAGGAAAGTGATGAAGTTATAACGTGTTACATATGTATTAAAGAGTTTTAGCATGTTGAATATGAAGAAGAGTTAATACAATCTGTTGCATATGGGGAAAAGAAAGCTACAATCTTTGAGTTACGAGATACAAAGTGGAAATAAGCAGTACGTGGTATAATGCTTTCGTACTCACTAATACTTTTATAACATGTTGGATATTATCAACAATTATCCGCCAGTGGGTTTATGAACGGGATCGCATAAACAATAGTTACATTTAGACCTAGATTTTGTGAGAATTTTTTCCTGACTTCTCTTCTTTTTGTCCAGTTTCAATTTCAAATTTCCAAAAATGTAAAAATAATGTTTCAGATCTATCTTCTGTCTCCAAACAGTGACTGCTCAGGAGGCTTTTTGTTCAATACCAGAAAATATTAGTTAGGCTGGACGATGGGAGAAGTTTTCTGAAACTTTATTATAATGCTTTAAAAGTTGCGGTTTGATGGATTTTTTGTGCCTATTTGTTTCTAATGTTTCGCTGTAAATTTTACTGGTTATATACAATTCGATCTAACGCATCATGCCATAAATGGAGCGTATTATTTCACTTTCCCATAACTACTATTTGATAAACAATATAACACATAAACGAATTACGTAAGAGAGTGGTAAAAATGTCATAATACACTAGATGTATTATGGAAAGTAAGTAAGGAGGAATGAGTGTTTTGAACATGACAACCTTGTGATGGAGACTTTTTAATTAAGAACTACATTGCAGGGCCTTGTTTTGTAAAAAAAAAGTGCGTAGTTTAAGACGTTAAATGAAGTAATAAAGGCAGCTAGTTCAACACTACCCACAATTAAAACTTGGGCTACTCTTTACCAACGAACAGTGGTTTGTTTGGAATTTCGCGCAAAGCTACACCATGGCTATCTGCTGTTGCCGTCTCTAATTTAGCAGTGACAGACCTACCACCAACTCTTGCGCTTCTCTTTTACCAAATAATAGTGGGATTGACAG